CCCCCTGCTTGTGTTCCCTCTCTCGCTGTGTCTCTCTCTGTCAAATAAATAAATAAAATCTTAAAAAAAAAAAAATAACATTTAAAAAATCCTTTGTAAATGCATAGACATTCTAAGGATATAAAGACAGGTAACTGAATGCTTAACTTTCTTAATATCAGCCTTAGCTTTAGATGCTCCTATCTGATGGTGTGTGAAATCTCAGAGGCTCCTGGGGCCTAGAGGACCTCAAATATAAAGTGTCCTGAACTGGAATAGAATGAGATGCTCTCTAAACCCTCCAAGTGTGAATGGTCCTGGGGCTTATAAAAATCAGATTACTCAGGCCCTTCAGAGAGTTTTAACTATTGTTCTTGGTGAGTTTTCACAGGAAGTTATTACCAGAAAAAGAAGGTAAATCACTGTCTGGTACTTAGAAAATCTAAATAGAATTCACAAATAACTGCTTTAAACAATGCAATGCCTCATTGAATTAAAAAAAAAAAAAAAGTGAGAGAAATCACTCATACTCCAGTGAAGCAGTCATTCCATAAGAAGGGCAGGAGACAGGGCAAAAGTTTGGTCGCAGTTGGTGCTGATAATCAGTGGCTCCTTTGATTACGTATGTTTGATCGTACAGAAACTTTAAATGATATAAACACGCTGCTTCATCAATATTTTGTAGCAATATATATTACTGATATGTTCTTGAAAAGAATAATATCTCTTTGATTTCTAAACTGAATTTGAAGGGAAGTAAGCATATCATTCTGGTATTTTTGTAATTACATTGACTCTTAACCCACCCCACACTAAAACAAAATTCAGTGTGGTTCAGCTAAAGCTGACTCATACCGAAATAGCTCAAGCAACTATAAAAAAAAAGGGGGGGGATTTGATTTTAAATTGTTGCAAACTTCTTAACTGAAAGACGTCCAAGTGGATAGATCTCTCTTTAAGAACCAGGCTGCCTGTGTTCTCTGTAGGCACAAACCTTCATGTTTGAATTAAGTTCACTTATTTTTTTCCTGGTTGCCCTCTACAGTGACTTCCCATTAAGTTGGATTACTTGCATTTTATTTACACCATTCTTTACATGGAAAGCACAGGCGTGGGGGGTGCCTGCCTGGCCCTGTCAGTAGAGCATGAGACTCTTGATCTCAGGGTTGTGAGTTCAAGCCCCATGTTGGGTGCAGAGATTACTTAAAAAAAAAAAACGAACAAAAAAAGCATGTAAGTGGAACCGAACTTGGATCACACAGAATTAACACAGGAAATAAATTCAATAAATTTTTCTTTAAAGATGAATTAAAATCTGTGTAATTGTTTTCATCCAATAGAAGTTTAAATCAGAAATCACTGTAATTTTAATGTTCAATTAGTTTAACTTTCAAAAAGAATAAACCAAGATATTTGCCCTTTGGTCATATCTATTTCGTGTTCTAACACATATCTTTTTTTTTTTTTTTTTAAATTTTATTTTTATTTATTTGAGAGAGAGAATGAGAGAGAGAGAGCATGAGAGGGGGGAGGGTCAGAGGGAGAAGCAGACTCCCTGCCGAGCAGGGAGCCCGATGCGGGACTCGATCCCAGGACTCCAGGATCATGACCTGAGCCGAAGGCAGTCGCCCAACCAACTGAGCCACCCAGGCGCCCCTCTAACACATATCTATTACACTTTCTCTTTTCCTGTTTTTCTTTTATCTCTCTTATTTAATTCTGGAAGGTGCTAATCTTGAAGGGAGGGTTCTGATATTCTTTTATGGTATCGTTTAAGGGCACCATCCCCACTGGCTCTAATCTTTGCGGATCAGATGGCATCCAGAAAATCAGAATCCTAAATGCATTCTGGAACCTGAGAATGCAGCTTACAGTCAGCATGAGAGTGGCCTGTGAGATGACTTGTCTTTTCCTCTGATGACCTTCC